ACGAAGAACACGAAGTGGCCTACAGTTGGCTCCGGGCATTCAAAATGTGGCCTGGGAATGGTGTTCTGGGAACACGAAGAACACGAAGTGGCCTACAGCTGGCTCCGGGCATTCAAAATGTGGCCCGGGAATCGGGAATGGTGTTCTGGGAACAGAATCTGTAGGAATCCATAGGAAACTATACGAATCTATAGGAGTCCTGGGGAGTCTCCGGATTTCCCGGATTCCCCCGGCACCCGCCCAGACCCCCTTTTGACCCAACTAGAAACCTATCAGTCTTCGCTGTTAGATAAAAATACTATAAATATGTTTAAAAAAACTCTACAATGGGTCAATTATCCTGCGACGTACCCAACCCATTTGCATCAAGTGGCCCGATGCATCGGCGAGTATCGTCGTGAAGAACGCAGCCCCCCAGGAATGGCGAGCTCTAATCCTGATCCGCGGTGAGTACCTCTCTGCTGGCCTCCCCAGCAGCCCTCGAATTGGCAACAGTTTCGCAGATCGCAGCCCCCCAGGGATGGCGCGCTATTATTCTGATCTGCGGCGAGTACCCTCTCTGCTGGCCTCCCCAGCAGCCCTCGAAAGTGGCAACAGTTTCGCAGATCGCAGCCCCCCAGGGATGGCGCGCCATTATTCTGCTCTGCGGTGAGTGCCCTCTCTGCTGGCCTCCCCAGCAGCCCTCGAAAGTGGCGACTGTTTCGCAGATCGCAGCCCCCCAGGAATGGCGAGCTCTTATCCTGATCTGCGGTGAGTACCCTCTCTGCTGGCCTCCCCAGCAGCCCTCGAATTGGCAACAGTTTCGCAGATCGCGGCCCCCCAGGGATGGCGCGCCATTATTCTGGTCTGCGGTGAGTACCCTCTCTGCTGGCCTCCCCAGTAGCCCTCGAACGAGGCGACTGGTTTCGACAGATCGCAGCCCCCCAGGGATGGCGCGCCATTATTCTGGTCTGCGGTGAGTGCCCTCTCTGCTGGCCTCCCCAGCAGCCCTCGGAAGTGGCAACAGTTTCGCAGATCGCAGCCCCCCAGGGATGGCGCGCTATTATTCTGGTCTGCGGTGAGTGCCCTCTCTGCTGGCCTCCCCAGCAGCCCTCGAAAGCGGCCACAGTTTCGCAGATCGCAGCCCCCCAGGGATGGCGCGCTATTATTCTGGTCTGCGGTGAGTGCCCTCTCTGCTGGCCTCCCCAGCAGCCCTCGAAAGTGACGACGGTTTCGCAGATCGCAGCCCCCCAGGGATGGCGCGCAATTATTCTGCTCTGCGGTGAGTACCCTCTCTGCTGGCCTCCCCAGCAGCCCTCGGAAGTGGCAACAGTTTCGCAGATCGCAGCCCCCCAGGGATGGCGCGCTATTATTCTGATCTGCGGCGAGTGCCCTCTCTGCTGGCCTCCCCAGCAGCCCTCGAAAGTGGCCACAGTTTCGCAGATCGCAGTCCCCCAGGGATGGCGCGCCATTGTTCTGGTCTGCGGTGAGTGCCCTCTCTGCTGGCCTCCCCAGCAGCCCTGGAAAGTGACGACTGTTTCGCAGATCGCAGCCCCCCAGAGATGGCGCGCCATTATTCTGCTCTGCGGTGAGTGCCCTCTCTGCTGGCCTTCCCGGCAGCCCTCGAAAGTGGCTCTCTGCTGGCCTCCCCAGCAGCCCTCGAAAGTGGCCACAGTTTCGCAGATCGCAGCCCCCCAGGGATGGCGCGCTATTATTCTGCTCTGCGGTGAGTACCCTCTCTGCTGGCCTCCCCAGCAGCCCTCGAAAGTGGCGACAGTTTCGCAGATCGCAGCCCCCCAGGGATGGCGCGCTATTATTCTGGTCTGCAGTGAGTGCCCTCTCTGCTGGCCTCCCCAGCAGCCCTCGAAAGCAGCAACACTTTCGCAGATCGCAGCCCCCCTGAGTCCGCGAGGGGGAGGGAAGAGAGAGGAGGGGGGGGGGGCGGGAGCGGAAGGAGAAGCGCAGGCGGTGCTCTATTCAAAACGTGAACCCAACACAGAAGGAGGAGGGAGGAGGGGAGGAGGAGGAGGAGGAGGAGAAGGAAGGAGACGCGACCCCACTGCTCTCTTCAAAACAAGAACCCAACCGAGGAGGGTTGGGATACATACTTTACAAAAATCGTCCCCATATTACTTCCTTACTATTTTGGAATATTCCCCCTGTAGAGGGACAGGCCCAACTTAACCCGAGCGGCCGAGAACGCCGCAAAGCCCGCGCAACGGTGCTGTCGAGACGTCGGATGTCTGGGAGACCGCGCGCCGATCCTGGACGCCTGCTGCCTGGCTCGGGACGGGACGCCGCCCTCCCCGCTGCCTCGCGCCTCCTCGTGTTGTCCTCCTCCCTCACTGGTTTCCTCCTCCTCCTCCCCCTCCCCTCCCGCCCCTCCTCCTCCTCCTCCTCCTCCTCCTCCTCCTCCTCCTCCTCCTCCTCCTCCCCTCCTCCTCCCTCCTCCTCCTCCCTCCTCCTCCTCCTCCTCCTCCTCCTCCTCCTCCTCCTCCTCCTCCTCCTCTCCTCCGTCTCCTCCTCCGTCTCCTCTCCGTCCTCCCCCTCCCCTCCTCCCCTCGCCCCCTCCCCCTCCTCCCCCTCCCCCCCTCCCCCCCTCCTCCTCCTCCTCCTCCTCCTCCTCCGCCTCCTCCTCCTCCTCCGCCTCCTCCTCCTCTCTCCTCCTCCTCCTCCTCCTCCCCTCCTCCTCCTCCTCCTCCTCCTCCTCCTCCTCCTCCTCCTCCTCCTCCTCCTCCTCCTCCTCCTCCTCCCCCTCCTCCTCTCCGCACTGCGACGTGGCCTGGCAACGCGACGGCGACCAGGAACGGCTGGCAGAGATTCGTGCCCCCCCTCCAGTCTGGGTAATTTGGCTGACCCAAAAGGGGGTCCAACTGAAAGGGGGTGGCGCAATAGATCTGAGGCAATTGTACTGTAAATTTATTGCGCCAGAGAATCGTCTTGCATTGTATTGCAGGTCGTGTATTGCACTCGAAAGTACAGCAATACATTGGCGCCCCGACATGTATTGCACGCCCCACATTAATTGCAACCCCGCAAATCTATTGCACCAAATCTATTGCACCACCCCCTTGTCGCTGGACCCCCGTTTAGGTCAACCCGAGGTAAGGGGCTGCGGCTCGCAGGCCGTGGGGTTCTTCATCTGGCGACAACCTCATTGGTGAGGAGAGGATTTTCGCTCCGGGGGGAGGGTGACAGCGGGGGCGTGGGGGCACCGCGTTTCCGAACGGGCGCCGCTGGATGCGGTAAACTTACACGCGGCACCGCATATGCGACGGATTCCGAAAAACTATGGACCCAAAAATGTTGCCGTCTCTTGGGAGCGCGTATTCTACTTCTGCCACCTACCGTCGCCCTTCCGCTGGCTTCTGCCGGCGGAGGGGGCCTCGCTTTTTACTTCAGCCGGCCTCCTGCTGCCCTTCCGCCGCCTTCCGCCGAGGAAGAGATGCCAACTCCTTCGATCCTCGAAGGCGAGGCCCTTCCTGGAACGCCTCACATGTACAGTCGGGGCGTTGACCAAGGGAACGATAAATAAGGAACGAGGCTCCTTTTTTCCATATGTCAAACTTCGATTTCCTATCGAAAACATAAGGAAAGCCTGAGGCAAGCTGTGAAACACTTAAGGAACGCGGAGCCCCTCCCCAACCAAAAGGGTTCCTTCTTCAGGGCCCCGATTGTATACACATGTCGAGTATAGAGGCCTCCTAGACAGGTCCGAGTAGATGGGGTCG